TGCCACGTCATAACATTTTAAGGATAAATTGCGAGTGAAAAAAACCGACCAATAAGATTCAATCTGGTCTATAGATAGTAACTATTATCAAAATTATAAAATTAAATATATTTTATTATTTGTTTAACAAGTTGTTTTTTTAAAAAAATAAATTTATCAATCTATTGGAAACGTGTTTTATAGTTATAATGTGAAAGTCATTTATAACAATTGATCGTATTGATAATCGTTTTATTCAAATATAATATTTAATTTGTGTTATCGTTATAAGTTTTGAAATAGATTGTTTTTATCGTTGATGGCATTGATCAAATGGTAATTTATGTGTGGTGATATACGTAAAAACAGTCATAATATAATTGATATCGTTTAAAGATATGTAACGATAATTTAATAACTTATGTTAATGATATATAAAATTTAATTATTTATAATATTTTTATTATATTGATACGAGTGTTATTACACTATCATTTTGTTTTTAACACGATTTTATACCTATTTGTTCAAGGTATTAATTGTTTTAAAGCGTCTTGTATATTTTGTTGTCACATCACTATAAAAATTTATGGTAATATAACTTTAATTATAATAAATAATAATAAATCCAAAAATTTTTAATAAAATAATTATAAAAAAACTTATTGTTTTAATGGTTTCAAAGACAAATTTTATAATTTTGATAATAGTTACTATCTATAGACCAGATTGAATCTTATTGGTCGGTTTTTTTCACTCGCAATTTATCCTTAAAATGTTATGACGTGGCAGCTCTAGAGCGTTCTTTTTGTTATTCAATAAACAAAAATTACACAAAACTTAAAACCAAAATCGGGAAACATGTCCTAATCGGAACTGCGTTAATTATATTTTTTTCAATTTTTGTTCTATTTCGGGCTGTCAAAATTGACTCCCAAAGGTATATAAGCAATGGCCATTGTATATTGTAATTAACTTAATTACTTATTAAAAAAATATTTGCTATTTTTCTTTATCAAGTATAAATATAGTAATTATTTGAATACTATTAATTTATAATAATATTTTATCTTTGTTTTAAAAAGTTATATTATAACTAGTATCAAATAATATTACTATGTGAACTATTAATATTGGTTTTTAATGCCATTTGAAACTAAATGAAACACAATGTACTATATTTATTAATAAAGATATTATTTTATGTTAATTATAAAGTTATTTTTGAAATTAATAACAAATTATACTAAACTATAATTGAAAAGAAACTATTTATTTAAGCGAAATGTTGGCATTCTAATGAATGAAATTAAAACCACTCTTTGTTATATTGATCGAGCACTTGGCTGTTAGTAATACATTTGCTAACCGTGTCAATTGACATTAAATACTTATTTTTTAACATTTTTTTTAAATACAAATTTAATTTTCTGTCATCAACATTTTCTCTTTTATAAAAATAACACTCTACTATTCATCATAAACATTTCACATATATGTTGTTTATTTTTTTCAAATAAATAATGATTATTGATTCAATATTCTTTAATATTAAAAAACAATAAAACAAGATACTTTAATTTAATAATAACATTAGGTTTTCGATCTTTATTTTGTATATTTAGATAATAAAAAATCAAATAGCTTGAGATTTTTTTGATATTTTGTTATATTGTTTTGTTTTTTATAATTTCTTTTAATGCCTGTTGTTTACATATGGTTAAAATTATTATTTATACACTAAATAATGTTAACAGTTATTTAAATACCAACACTGTATTTGTTTTTTTTTGTTCATTTACAATTAAAAAATAACTTTTACATAAAAATTTCGATGTTTATCTTAAAAAACGTATTAAATTCATGTTTTCGTTCTTTATAACTTAGATTTTAAATTATTTGGTTAATTTTTGCATTTAAAATTGGAGAAGAAAATACTTGACTCACATGTAAATAATTTTTATATTAAATTCAGGGACTTACCTTTTACACCCACTACCGCTATAAATAAACGTTTATAACACAAAAATAAAACATTTTTGTATTTTTGGGTTTTTGAATCTTGAAAAATAGGGTTTTTTATTTACATCTAATAAAGTAAAACAAGTAAAACGTTTTATATAAAACGTCAAACTTTAATTATTTGTTTTTTGTCGCATGTTTTGGCGCAAAGTGAACGTTTTGATTAATATTCAATTTTAACCCGCTAAAATTTATAATAATTAAATAAACAATACTTTTAATAGTTACGAATCTAAAACTCTTAATTACTAAACAGAAAAACACTCCACAAAAATCCAAGTTCTATTAACTTTCGATGTAAAAACCAAAAAAAGGTAACCCTTATTTGGTTACAGAGGGTATTAAACTACAGACAATTTCATTGATTCAATAGCAAGTGCGTTTATTTCCTACAGCTTCAAAACCCAATCAAAAACAATGGCAGAAGCATCAACTATCTCTGTTTCTGACCAGACATTTTCTTTTTTTGTTACTAAAAACAGCGATTCACAAAAACTTAAACAGACATTCCGTTGTATTTTATTTATATTTTCAGACAAAAAATGGTGTTAGATGTTGTTTAAAAGTTTGTTTTTTGTTTCAATTTATTAATGATATCATATGTTTAATATAAACTAAAATTCAAAAAACGATAGTGTATTTATTAATATTTTTTTGGTAATTTTTCAAGTTTTATCTTACTAAACTTTTATCCTCTTTTTTGGATCTAACAAAAATTTAAGGAAAAAGTGGCTTAAATTTACACATAAAAAATAAAAATAGACCTTTTTTCAAACAAAAGTTGCTCAAATTTACAAAAGAAATAATCTTGAGTTGTTTCAAATAAAAAAATATCATAAATGCATTTCATTAAAACCCAATTCATGTTATTTTAGATTTGAAACAATTCAATTAAAAATTTGTCAAAAACGAACTATTTTAATGGGATAAAAAACATTTACATAAATAAACAATATTGACTTTTGTAAAACTTTTTTTTAATTTCAACAAAAATCACATTGAAAACAAATTAATATTAATTAATTGCAATATTTAAACTTATAATCTTTAAAATGATTACATGTCTGTTATCAATGAAACAGATAAGCTCATTGTTAATTTATTAAGAGAAGGGAAATCATTTTCTTTTATTACCAAAACACTTCATGTATCACCAAACAGAGTTTCTTATAACAAAAAGAAAATTGAAAACAATGAAGAGTTAATTTCAAAAACTATAGGCAGACCTTCAATTATGACACAACAAAAAATAATAACTTTGATCAAAAAACTTCTATTAATCCAGAATCAACGTGTTGTGATTTGGCTAAATGTATAAATGTATCAAAATCAACAATTCATAGATACAGAAAAATAAACGGGTTTAAATATGGCAAACTAAAGAAATCTCCATTTTTAACAAAAGTTAACATTAATAAAAGATTAAATTTTTGCAAAAAGGCGGTACTAAAGAAAAATTATAAAAAATGGAAAAAGGCTATTATAAGTGATGAGTCGAGATTTGGATTGTTTTCTGATAACGGAAACTGTTGGTATCACAAAAGCAGGGAAATGAGATATAACAGAATAAATTCATTTAATATTGGAAATCAAACTTTACTTATTAAAAAGAACAATAAGATTTTTAAATCAATGTTTTTAACATTTCCAAAACACAACAATTCACTGATGGTTTGGGGAGCAATCGGAAATAATTACAAATCACAGTTGTTACTATGTGACAACAGACTTAATGCAATTGGCTATCAACACATGCTTGAAAGTAATAAAGTGTTTGATGATATTAGACGAAAACGCAACAAACAAATAGTCTATTTCCAACAAGATGGTGCCAAGCCACACACAGGAAAACGACATTGAATTTTTTGGAGAACAATAAAGTGAGATTGACTGGGTGGCCTCCTTCAAGTCCGGATTTATCACCAATTGAAAACGTTTGGTCGATACTTGAAAATAGAATTAGAAAAAAGAAAAAATATTTTAAAAACCAAAAGAGTTTGTTTAGAGTGCTGAAGAAAGAATGGGAATCGATACCAATGGATACAATTAACAATTTAATGCAATCGATGGAAAAAAGATTTTCTCTTTGTATTCAAGAAAAAGGTAAAATCATTGGCCATCTTCTTTAAAAAGAAGTTGTTCGAGAAAAAAGTGTTATTACATTAATTGTATCTTATTTTTACGTGTTTTTAATTAAGATTTTCAACAATTAATGGTTTTAATTTTTGAAAAAAGTTGATATTGAAATATAAATAGATTCCGTAGTTTTCCCAAAACATTATGATAAAAATAGACCAAAATATTATGGGGTACTATCGACTTTTGGGAAACAGTTTATTATTAATGATACAACCTAAATATATTGTTAAAATTCTTTATATAATTATAATACATTTAAAACTTTCTTATAAATTTCTAAAATAATACATAGTATGTTATTTCTTTTTATATTACAATGACGAAAGTGTTGTTAATCATTTTGATGTTGATCTAATAATTAGTTTTGTTATTTCGAATTAACAAATTATTTTTTGACAAGTTATTATGTATTCAAACAAATTTCACGAAATGTACAACCTATTTGGTATTGTTCAAAAAGAATAAGTACATTTAAGTTTGAATTGATTAATAAACGTACTTACTATTAGTGCATACACAATATTATATAACATTTGAAAACACCTCATTTGTATAGTTCTCAAGTGTTACGAAGTACATTTGCATCATCATGTATGTTTCAGATGAAAATGCAAATCGTGTGTTTTGTGACAACATTCGTGGTCTGTCATTGATGTGTTTATACAGTTCAGGAGAAATAAAATATGTCAATATGGCAGTATTTAAAGGTAAACACATAAATTGTGAAAACATATTGGTTAAATGATACTGTTCGTCCGACCACCTTTCTTTGTGTTGACAACATTAAGTGCTTAAAGTTCACAAATGGTGTCATTGCGAACTGTTTAAGTGATGGCTCCAACAGCAAAGACATGTCGTTTGTATTGGACTTGGAATTGTCGGAAACTTCAATTATTTGATAGCTTGCATAGCGACGTCTGCTGCCTCTCGTCGGAAGATGCCTGGCTCGTCCATAGTCCCGATGATGTTGTCTGGTGTGATTCCCCTCTTCTATGCAAAGTCAACTAGTGCCTTAGAAGCTGCGATAGCCATGTTGTTTGTGATTCTCTTTGTTCTAACAATGAGTGCGCCCTTCAAAATAATTGGAAACTTAACAGAGTTGTTGACTTGATTTTGGAAGTCAAGAACTACATCGCCTCTTCTTGTAGCAACGATGTACGCTCCTGCCTCTTTTCCTGGTACGGATAGATCTCAGGCACTGGATTTGCACAGCAGAAGACAATCAGTTTTGTTCCCATTGACCCAATCCAATCACCTTTTGCAACTTACAACCATGTGGTTGTGATATAAAAACGTCTATGTTTTTATTTCAGACCAAGACAAAATCAAAATGTCTTGATTTTGTTTAGGTTTGTGTTCTTGCATATTTCCATTTACCCATTTCCTGTAGAACCGCGAATACTTCTCGATATTGTCACGTCCACAACGAAGCGACCCATTGATATTAAACATCACGATTTTCTTTGGGTCAGCACCCGCACTCACTATCAGTCGCAGGCATGTCGCATTTGCACTCCCAGCACCAATGAAGACCATCTCGATGTCTTCAAGTCTTTTGTAAACCAACCTGAGTGCGTTGAGCAACCCAGCCAACGTCACTGGTGCTGTGCCTTGTTGGTCGTCGTAATAAACGGGGATGTCACAGATCTCTCGCAACACGTCAACCACTTTGTCAGCTTGGCTGCGATATGTCTTCGAAATTGATTGCACCAAAGGTGTGATGTATCCGCTGCACAAACTCATCAAACATCAGCATCAGTCTTCTCAACAACCTTCGAGTCAATGCAGATGGGAACGGCGTCAATACCACACAAGTACTTCATCAGCAGCTTTTTTCCTTTCATCACACCAAGTCCACCAACCGGGGTAACATCGCCATCCGTGACACGGATGTTTGTTGAGATGCGAGATACGCCGGGGGTGTAGTACGCGTTGAACCAGTTAAACCCACATAGTGCGCACTTCGGCATGATCCGGATCTTCACTCGAAAGAATTTGTGCGCCTTCTCAACAAGTGTCTTGTAAAACTCGGTCTGTGTATTGAGTAACCTAGCTAACATTTGTAGAAAGGCACACCACAAGTGATACGCCCCTTTAAGTGTCGAGTTTTACGAAATGTTGTACTTTTATTGTGACACTTCAAGTTTCGCTGCGAAATGTATTTTAAATACGTGTTGTATCTGTTGCAAAAAAATTAATCATCTCACTAGACTGGTAGTTTTTAGAAGTTTTCAAGACGCTCAAAATTGAAACTGTGTAGATACAGCCCACAAACTCTCTAATCAACTCTTATTGACAATTTTTCAACATACTTATTTATAACCAACAAACAATTAATTAATAAATTATTAATATTAAATAAAAAAAGTAATTTCTAATTCAAAAAACAGTTTCTCGAATTATGACCACTTTGACCACATTTTTTACTGTGATAAACTCTTTTAACCAAAGAAGTTGGTTCCACTTTATTCAAACCCTGACCAAAAACAGGTGGCTTCGGTGGAACTACTCTTCCTGGACACGTCACCATTTCTACCATTATTCTGGGTCTTGGTCCTTTTTGAAATTGTGGCGATGGTTCAGTTAAATTGTCAACAAAATTTTGGGTGACTATTAACAAGCGACTTTCTCTCTGGTTAATAGTTACTAAATCTACCACTTGCAGATTTAGTTACTATTAAACTTTGTCGGAGTCTTTTCCCCTTTTCTTCAACAATAAATTCTTCAATGTGTTCTGTTGTTTCTTTTTTCCCTTTCAAAACGTTGTTGACGAATTCATAATATCTCACCAATGGAGTGTTGTCTTTTTTAAAAAACGTTTTCAATTACTTCAAGGGCAAAGTGTAAATCGCTTCGGCTTTTTGATGGCTTAACTGTCTTGTCAACTGAAATGGTTTCAGTTGAATGAACACATTTTGTAATCTCAAAGAGTTTTTCATTGAAAATTGTGGCTGGAAGTGGGAAACACCATTTTATAGAGTACAGTGAAACCAAGTGAATGTAAAGGTATTTGTTATCTATGAATTGGTCGCAGTTGCACGAAGATAAAGTGGTGCCATCAAAAATCATTCCCATACCATTTATCGGGGGTCTATAAACTGGTTGGGATCCATAAACTAGTTGGGGAATGCTCCAAAACATCGAAATTAATACAATGTAAAACATAATCAATTATTATTTATTGTTATTATTCAAAAGAACAAAAACCCTTGATTTTCCGTTTTCGCTCACTTTTTGGAACAATTTTGATTTATTTGTTTGTGGAAGGAAAATGGATTTATTAACTGGCCAATAATATGAACGCTTTTTGTAAGTCAAGTATTGTATTTGTAACTTTTAAAAACATATTTTTTACAAATATTGTTTTGTAACAAACCCGTTGCAAAGTGACGTATAAAAATTTGCAATAATTTTTGTTTTTTGGAACGAAAAATGAAACCTCTGTTTTTGTATTTATCTAAAAAATAGTCATCGTTTCTCTTAACGATGATGTTTATTTTAATATGTTTAAACACAAAGTATTATATATGATACATGTGGGATAAGGTTATAATATTATTGTTCGTTATAAAGGGTAATATGTTAAAATATGTGTTTTAAAAAGTTAAAAAACGAATCCCTGTAAAAATAATTTATACTCTTTATTTTGAAAAATTGGAATTTCAAATTGTTGTAACGGACTCTGTGATAACATCTATAAAATAAATAAATTGAAATGAATGATAGGTAAATGCACAACATTAATAATTGTAAGGTTGTTGATTTTTTTGAAAAAAAATGAAAAAAATAGTTTTATTGATAATAAATTATATAATTGTTTTAGTTTTATAAATTAATAAAGTCAACTTTGATAAACACATTCTTGGATATCAAGAGTGAGTTTTGTTGTTAATAAAAAGCTGTTAACAACATGTTAAATACACCATTTGAATGTTGTTTGTCTGATCCCTGTTATTTATTAAAGAATAAGTTGATGTTTGAATAATTATTCTTGATAAAATAATAATTTTATAAACTAATAAATACGCATATTAAATATTATTAATAATTATAACACATAATAGTATAATATAACAAACATCTAAAGTAAAAACATTTTTATAAAAATAATGTTTTTTATTAAAATAATTTCAATAAATATTTTAATCGCCATTTATTGCCATAATAATTTCAAATGAATCTCGATAAACAATTAAAATTTAATAATTTATTATATTAAAATATTAATTGTATTAATCAAAAACGTTGTTACGTTTCAATTCAAAATTTAAATAAGATAAAATTACATAAAAATATAATGGATTAAAAAGTCAACAGATTTAAAAACGAATTTTGGACTATAAAAGAAAATGTTTTGAACTCAAAACAGTAATTCATTGCGATATTTATAATATGCGGGGAGAGATTGTGATAAAATATAATATATAATGTGTGTGAGAGCGAGATAATTTAATTTGCCATGGTCGTTGACCACTTTTTGTGTAGTGTGTGAACAAAATGTTTGAATGTGTGCTATATGATAAAGGAGAGAACACAATTCTCTTCCGAAATAATATATTTTATCCACAAAAATATAAATGATTCGTTTTTATTCATTGGTTGTTTTTGATTTTTTATTAATTTCTAAAATTGCAAAACAACAAAAACAAAAATAGAAATTAACATGTTTTATACTTCCCAAAACTGCAGAGCAGGGTTTTTCTTTTCCAAAATGTGTGTAAATATTGTTTTTTCCTTTAAAAGTTTCTAATAAATTCCCCAACCAGTTTATAGACCCCCTTTATTACAGTTAGTAGCAACCCATTGTATTTTTGTATTAAAGGGTTTCTTGAGGATAAGGTGTATCCTCAGGATTAAAGCTATCCCCATTAAAAAATATTTTTCTGAGGATACAAAAATCAAATCCATAAGGTTCAGTTCCCCATAAGGCCCACTCTCATAACTCAAGTTATAATTTACATTTAATATTTCGAGTCAAAGTTCGAATTTTAAATGATGGTAATAATTTGTCATAAATGCCAAAAGATTAAAAACAATCAAAAACAATCACCAAAATAATCAGTGAACAAAAACAATAATTATATCTCGCGAACTTGAGACGGGAAATAATAAAATGTGAATTATACTTGTTCATATTATGATTATAAACTTATTGATATTATTTTCGAATCCGTTATAATAACATAATAATTAAAATTTACGTTTAAATTGATAATTGTTTTTTTATCAAAATGAAAATTGAAAAAGTCGAAAACAATGATTTTCTAAAAATGTAATTTAAAAATAACAAATTTATAAATAATTTTGTAATTTATGCATTGTTCAAATTTATTATAATAACAAAGTTAATAATGTTGTGTATATTTTAATATGATTGTTTCATTTTGATATTAACTTGTGTTTTAAACAGATTTACAGTTCTGAGGATGGCAATTATTTTCTGAGGATGACGGAAATAGAAAGTTTACACTTTTACATCTGTCTGAAATGTATATTGAGTAAGTTACTATTTTTGAATATGGGAACACGTCATTTCACTTTTTAGATGTTTAAGTCCGTGTTGATAATGTCTGTTTGTTACACGACTTACCACCCTCAGAGATATGTATAGCACTGCCACTATTGATTTAAAATTCTATAAATAAAATTATCAAAGAATTTTTATAAAGTGAGTTTTGTTAATTGATTATATCAAAAATCGTCAAAACAATACAAAAACGCCAAATAATATATAAAATTGATTGATAAATTGAACACATTTCTATTGAGAATTAATATTGTATAAAAAATAATATTAATATAAACATATATTTCTTGTGTATATATGTTTTGAAAAATAAATAAAACCATTTAAAACAAAAACAATAATTTTACAAATTTGTTTATTTATCAATCGTTGTCTTATCGATCTTCAAAACCTCGCGTTTTGAATTTGCGCAAATACATAAATTGTCATCGCATAGAGTATACGTTATTAATACGTTATTTGCTATCAATTTATATTGTTTGAAATATCATGAATTGATTTATAATAAATTGTATTTTTTTGTAAAAAAAAATTAAAAATTGTTAGATTAATTTGTTTTGTGATTTTGATAAATAAATCGACTTTTTCGATAATTTATATGTCTGCCAAATGTTTTCATTTAAACCAAGGTTAGTCTAGTGGTAAATCAAAAAATAGAAATAGATTATTTTTTTGTAAAAATCAACTGAAAGAATCATCTTTCAAAAAATCCATAAATAGCATTTTTAAAGAAAATCATGTGTTTCAAAATATACCTTTTTGATCTTAGGCAAAAAAATCTAAATTGAAAGAAATTATTTTTAAGATATTTACCATCTTCAGAAAAATTAACAATCCTCATGAATCCCTTTATTATAAAAAAATAAAATTTTAACAACAATAATTTTAGTACTTTTATAAATTAAGACGTGTTTTATATCAAAAACGATGAACAACATATATTGATTAATTTATGTATTTTTTATGTCGATGAAGCGATAATAATTATTATATATGATATCTTAAATAAAAACTCGTATTTTAATGAGTATTTCGCATTCAACTGCATTTTCAAAAAATGTGAAATAATAATTCGTTTTTGTCAAATTATATTTCTTAAATAAGCTCGAGGTTCTGACAATATTTTTTATTTAGAATTAATCATCAACGCAAAATACAAAATTATTATCACAAACCAAATGTAGTGTCAATAAGTGACAATGGTGATAAAATGTATTATTTTTAAAATGTTCCATATAGTTTATGTTAAATGCGATAAGTTTAATATGTTATTACAAAAGTATTATATTTATATTTAATCTGTGTTGGTCGTATCAAATTTTTGCTATTGGTGCATTTAAAAACAGTTTACATGTGACTTGAATGGTCGTACTAATAACAATGCAGTTCAAATCTTTTTATTGATAAGCTCCTTTTTTAAAAAAAACTATGTCGATAAAAGTTTTTGAAAATGTAAAACACTTTTTATAAGTAACTTACTTCCGAACAATCACTTAAAAATCGGCACATTATAGAGATTTGTTGTGTTTAAAGCGTAAATATCCGAACTCTTGTCTGTTTAGTTATAAACAATTATTAACATAATTGAATTAATTCATCATGTTAACATATAATAACTTTGGTTGACAACAAATAAATTTTCTGTTATGTTTAATAATTATTTTTTGGTTTTTTATAAACATTATTTCAATTCATTATCATATATATTATAATAAACTAGATCAACTCAATTTTTATCTTCGAATACTCAAATTAATTTAATATAATTAAATATTAACTAAAAATTTAATTTGTTGTATTTAAAAGATGATTCAATTCATTCAAAGATGATTGATCAATTGACTTTTTCGTTTTATCTTATTTTACAACTAAAATATAATTATTTAAAAGTGATGTATTTAATAATTTTTAAAGATGACATCAATTTAATTTTTTAATTTGTTTAATTTAAAATCAATAATAATATATTTATTGTGTAGTTTGATAATAAAACGTTTTTAAAAATATTTTATTTCACAAATAAATAATATTGAGCATTGTAAATTAAATAATTAAACTGATTATTTGTACATTAATTTTATTTGCTTTAAATAAACAAAATAAACCAATATTTCAGAAACACTATAAAATAACACAATATAAACTGGAAATAAAAAGTCTGTACTCGATATAATTCTTTTTTGTGTGTTTTTTTTAATATTTTTTGGTAAAACGAATAATTAACAGAATAAAATACATTTAAAAAGAGAAAAACACAGAACATAAAAAACTCATAAATTTTTTAAAAAAGAAAAATAATTATTTTTTAGATGAAAATTTTAAAAGAGTGGAATTGAGTTTTAAAAAGTGGTAAAAAGTGGTTGAGTTTGGCAAATTGTCAAAGAACTTTTTTATTAAACAATGAAACCAGTAATGAGGACGCGAGAAAGTAAAATGTGTGATAAACTCCGTCATCAAAAATTAAAAGACGCATGCACGGATTTGATTAATGGAATATCAATAACAAAGTTTCAACTTCAAGACACCTTTCGAAAAGTACAGTTCATTCATTAAAAGTTAAGTTGAATGAAATCCACAATTTATTCCAAAATTAACAAAAATGGGAAGACCACCAAAAATCACAAAGGACGCTATGAAAAACGTCGAAATGTCAACGATAATCAATCCACAATCAAGTAGTCATAAAGTTGGGATGGAAATTGGTCTAAGTGCAACAACAGTTAATTCTATACGCCACGAATTAAAATTTCATTATGGAAAAGCGATCAAAAGACCATGTTTAACAGATAAACATATTGAATCACGATACACTTTTTGTAGAAAACAGCTGTGGCAAAAGAATATTAATAAATGGACAAGTTGTGTCATTATCTCAGATGAAAGTCGTTTCTGTCTTCACTCCGATGGTATGATGATGTGGAAACCTTGGGGATATCACCCAGATACAATTTTTGAATCGACTCCCAAATATGACCGCTCTGTAATGGTCTGGGGAGCAATTGCAAAGGATTTCAAAAGCAAACTTGTCTTCTGTTCCAACAGACTCGATTCAGCTAAATATTTAGACATTCTAAAAGAATCGGGAGTTTTTGATGAAGCTGTTGAAAAGTGGGGACGAAAAAAATTTGTTTTTCAACAAGATGGAGCTCCTTGTCATACTTCAAAGACGACATTAACAAAACTACAGGGAATGGGCATCAAAGTACTTCAAAAATGGCCTGCTAACTCACCTGATCTAAGTCCCATAGAACATCTATGGTCGATAATGGAAAAGAAAATAAGAGAAAAAACAAAAGTGTTTGAAAATGAACAAAAATTAAAAGAAGCTTTATTGCTTGTATGGGATGAAATCCCGATACAAACAATCAACAATTTGATTGAATCTATCCCAGAAAGATTCAAATTGTGTTTGAAATCAAAAGGTGGGTTTATTGGTGACAAACTTTAATTATTAAAGTTAATAAGGTTTGTCGTGTGGAACGTATAAAATTTGGGTAATTCAGCTTAACTGTTGCATAATTCCCACATTATTCGCTGATTCTATTTTTGAATTGATTTTGGTTGTTATAAAAGTGTGTACTTCGAAATAAAAATTATGAAAAATAGATTTGAATCTTAATAAATATCGGGAAAATACTCTAAAATAAACAAATTGATTAAAAATGGTACACACTTTTTATTTCCAGTTTATACTCATTACCACGTGTGTAATCAATTTAAATGCTGTTATGTATCTTTTTAAACATCAGTTAAATGTCAATCAAAGTTGGAATTAATGGTTTTGGAAGAATTGGAAGATTGGTTGCAAGAGTGATTCTTACCCGCCCCGAGTTCGACTTGGTTGCTTTGAACGACCCATTCATGGACCCAAAGTACATGGAATACATGCTCAAGTATGATACTGTCCATGGAAAGTTCCCAGGCACCATTGCTGTTGAAGGAGGCAACTTAATCATTGATGGGCACAAAATTATTGTTGTAGCTGAAAAAGACCCGGCTCAAATTGGATGGGGGAAACTCGGTGTAGACTATGTTGTTGAATCCACTGGTGTCTTCACCACAATCCCTAAATGCGAAGCTCACCTTAAGGGAGGTGCCAAAAAAGTCATCATCTCCGCACCATCTGCTGATGCCCCAATGTTTGTTGTTGGTGTCAACACTGAAGCCTACAAACCAGAGATGAACGTTTTGTCCAATGCCTCGTGCACTACCAACTGCCTTGCTCCACGTGCCAAGATTATCAATAATGAGTTTGGTATTATTGAAGCATTGATGACCACCATCCACTCCACTACTGCTACTCAAAAGACAGTCGACGGTCCATCCGGAAAGGACTGGAGAGCTGGCAGATGCGCGGGTTGTAACATCATTCCAGCTACTACTGGGATTGGGGGAAAACTCGCCCCTATACAAACTCGCCCCCCCCCGAGAATTCACCCCTGTAATTTCACAAAAGTTCAACACAAGTTCAACAAAATTTCAACAATAAATTTTTGTATACAATAAATAAAATATTTATTTTTACTTTAATTTATATTAATAAAATAAAATAATTATTTATAATAAATATATACATGTGATGATTTTAATATTATTTATTCAAAAAAACAACAAATGATCATTTTGTTCATGTTTTATATTATATAATATTATTATAAAAAACATTTTTATATTAAATGATATTAAACATCAATTATATTTCGTTTTTATCGTTAATTAAATACTATTATATTTTAAATAATAACAATAATAATTAAATAATAAAATATTATGTTATAATAAAAACAAATGAATACTGATATAGATTTGTAAATTAATTAAATGATTTAGTTAAGTTTGTTTCTTTTCTTTTTATTATTTCTCTGAGCCGACATTGTTTTCATCAATTTTTTGGTTTCTTTTGCAACACTTTTTCTCCTTCTTAACTTGGGTGTTTTATAATTGTTATTTTGCATTGATAATTCAACATCTTCTAAAAAACACTCGGTTGATTTCCAACTTCGTTTCTCAATTTGAATTTTTTTGTCACTTACAATTGTGTAAAATAAATTATCTTTTCTGTGTATTAATTTAATTTTCATTTTGTTATAATGTAAATTTACCAAACTCTATATCTATATGTTGTTCAGTTGGTTGTAATTTCTGATTTGTTTTTTCTTGTGTTTCACCAACATTTGTGCAATTATTTTCTTGTTCTAATATTTCGATAATTTTATTTTCATTATCGACCCCAAGCGCACTTGACTCGGCATCAGATTCAAAAACGGTTCTATTTTCCTTTCTATTTAAAATGATTATACAATCTATCAAAAATTGTTTCGATGTCAAAGGAATTTCACTAAATAACTCTTTTTGTTTTTCGTTAATTGACATATTTTTCTCAGTGGTTTTTTGTTTTGTCGTCGTTTAATTAACTGTGTGTTATTTTGAAAAAATTTGACGTCCAATATTTTTAGATATTTTTTGAGTTTTTCTATAAAAACGTGAACATTTGGATGTGTTAACCCATTCAATCTGTTCAAAGCAGAATGAAAGCTTTCTGCACGATTTGATGTCCTTTCTGTTAATCCATAGACACACCAAACCCGTTTTTTAAAAGCCCCGATTAAATAATTGTTTTTGAAATAAATCAACACTTTGTTTATATCTTCATCGTTGTTGTCTTTTACAATTTCATCAAATGCGAAATTAATTCTATATTCTGGTAGATAAGGAAAACACATTAACATTTTCGCTACAAATTTAAGTTGGTCTCCATCAACATACCTTTTTAAAGACCAAGATATGAAACTTTTCGAAACAATGATTGACAGTAATGAAAATGACAACATTTTATTATTGTATCTTTTTCAAAAAGTCTTCCAAAATAAACCAAATTGAAATCCCCGATTACAATTTTATTTTGATGAAAAATTGGTGTTTCACATAGCTCTTCGACTTTTTTAAATAAAACATCATAACTTTCAAGTGATTTGGATTTCATACAACAATAAAAAACTGGAAAACTTTGACCGTTTTGAAGACCTTGAATAGTATATAGTTGAGAAAAAAGTTCTAAATGTAAAACTGAAATTCTAATATAATATATATTTTATAATTTTATTTTAATCACAATGATAATATAATATATTATTATCATATTTTTTAATATACAATATACAATATACAATATACAATATACAATATACAATATACAATATACAATATACAATATACAATATACTATATACAATATACTATATTCTATATACTATATACTATATACATTATTTTATGTTTTATGTTTGAATTTTTCAATTTATTGTGATAAAAATTAATATTAATATTAAAAATAATAATAATAAAAGTTAATTGTTGAATAAAATGTAATATCATTTGAATTATTTTTTCGATGCAATTAAATAACAAACTTGGACATGTTTTAAGAGTGCCATCAATAAGAAGTATTGTTGATTGGCAAATTAAAGAAAAATATTCTTTTTTCCCAAAAATAACCATTTCTTTATCACAGTATAATATCAATTCTTTTTCTTCATCTGTAAATACAATTTGATCGGTTGATGTTGGGTTTGGAGCAATTTGTTTATTTAATTTCACAAACCTTTCTCCGGTTGAAAATCGTTTGGTCGAACCCAAAACATAATTTTCAGCGACTATTTCTAAAGTTGTTTTATATGTCGAGGAATTGCTTTTTGAAGAATCTCTAAGCAAACACGTGTAGTAATCATCAAAATAATCAGAAGTTTCATGTCCGTGTTCTTTTTTACCACGAAATTCAAAATTGTCTAAATGACCATATTCATCTCGATGATACCAAATTAGTTTTCCGCATACTCTACAACGAAAAGACCCGGTAGCGCGATCTTTTGGAGAAAATTTATAACCGTCAACATAAGGCATTTCTTCGCCTCTTTCAGATTGTAATATTACAAAATGTGGAGGAGAAGGAAAATTTGATGATGGATTCTGATGAAATTCCATTTTTTAAATAAATGGTTTTTGTATTTTAACCCCCATAAAAATTACTAGGTTTTAATATACATAACGGTTTTAAATTATTATTGTATAATCATATTTAATTAACGATAAAAACGAAATATAATTGATGTTTAATATCATTTAATATAAAAATGTTTTTTATAATAATATTATATAATATAAAACATGAACAAAATGATCATTTGTTGTTTTTTTGAATAAATAATATTAAAATCATCACATGTATATATTTATTATAAATAATTATTTTATTTTATTAATATAAATTAAAGTAAAAATAAATATTTTATTTATTGTATACAAAAATTTATTGTTGAAATTTTGTTGAACTTGTGTTGAACTTTTGTGAAATTACAGGGGTGAATTCTCGGGGGGGCGAGTTTGTATAGGGGCGAGTTTTCCTTTTCCCACTACTGGTGCTGCCAAGGCTGTCGGAAAAGTCATCTCATCATTAAACGGAAAGCTCACTGGTATGTCATTCAGAGTTGGAACTCCAGACGTCTCATGTGTCGATTTGACTGTCAGAACTGAGAAAGAGGTTACAATCGAAAATATCAACGCTGCTATCACTAAATACGCTGAAGGTGAACTCAAGGGAATTATGGGAATTACACACGACTTGGTCGTCTCATCGGACATCATTCACGACGACAGAAGCTCTATCTTCGATGCTGCTGCTACCATTATCTTGAACCCACACTTCTGCAAACTCATTGCATGGTACGATAACGAGTGGGGATATTCCACAAGACTCGTTGATCTCATCCAGATCATCAGCAAAGTTCATTAAGTAATTCAGCACTACTCGGTTTTATGTTTTAAATAATCGTATTTGTTGATGGTGTATCTTAATATAAAATTTTTATATGTAAAAATGTTATTAAATTGTTTTGAAAATGTAACAATTTATATTTGAAAAATTAATATGTAATTATTTCGATTTTAATAAAATAGTACTTTAACCTTACGATAATTTTGTTTTTATGAACATTTTTTGAAAAAAATTGTTGATGATAACACAAATGTTAGTGTTTTAATTTAAACATTTCTAAAAATTGAAAAAAAGGAAAATTTATAAATTATTGTTTGCGGGATATGTTTGTTTACTGTTTACATTTCAAAAGAGTCGCTACAATGTTAGTTTTTTGTATATCATATCAAGTTCAAAAAAAAACAAAAACAATAAAATAAAAAGTGTTTTATATAAATCGGTAACATTATCGTATGGTTAAAATGGTCTGATACAATTATGAATTTCTAGAAACATTTGTCTTATCTTAATCATTTTTCAAATAAATTTGTAATGAAAAGCGATTATTCTTATTGGTGTTTAGTTTTCATGTATTTTATAAAGAAGCTATTTACACTTTACAATAATTATAATAAAATAAAGTAAATTAACCACACAGTCAAAATAATATATTAATTATTATTCTGTTTTTATGAGTATTTGTAACACACAAAACAAGATTATTTTTGATTGTTTATAAACAAAAAATCATTTTTATATGATTATAAATACACATACAAATTATATAAACAATTTCCACAAGTACATAGATGATTACAGGTAGTTAAAACCTCCCGTCTTTTTAACAGCTTCCACTTAATTTTATATATTTAAATAATATTAATATAATAAAATGTATTGTATTGTTTTCAATGAAAGTTGAATATGTACAGTGCATACTTTTTCTGTCCGAGGTGTGTATCCTAGTTTGTATAACAATTTCATTTTTTATAACTATTAAACCGATAAAAAGCGGTTAAAAAAACCAGAGCGTTCTTTTATCACTCTATAGAATGCGCTTTTTTTGTTTAATCCTTTTTGTTCAAAATCGTTTTTATGTAACTTTTGTTTATAAAAAGTAATTTTTGTTTAGAGTACACATATTTTTGTGTCAAAATAATTAAATTTATCAAATAATGATTAGTTATCCGTGTATTTATCATGTCCTCATTTTTGTGGTTATTCGATTAATGGTTAGTTATAAATAGATTTTAAGTGTTGTTGTGTCTTTTGGCATAAAAATGTGTTTTTGTATTCAAATAAAATATCATAAAATCATTAATTATTGGTATGAAACAACAAAAATATAAAAACATGATATTAGTAATTATTAAATACGCATACAACCCTTTTATCATATTAAAACGAATATAATCTTGTTTTTAAACAAAAGATTAGTTGTTAAGTATGTCACAATACACAATTTTCAATTTAGAAACACATCGTCATCATTTAACAAATTCACCTGTAATGTATTACAATCAAACAACTATTCCATATCAAAGTTGTTATATACAACCCCAATTGATAACATCTGAACTTTTACAACCAATATTTTCAACACCAAGTTTAGGAACGAATCTACCAGAATTACAAAATGTTCAACAAACACCATTTTTTTCTTTATCAAGGCAAAACATATTTAATTCAATTCCCCAAAATGTTGATATTCAGCCCTTTTATAACAACCAAGATAATACTAAGATAAACCACGTTCTCGAAACAGTTTTAAGTTCTAAAGGTACTTATTTGCCGGTATTAGATGGAATTTTGTTTTACAAAGATGGAAACAGTAAAAATGGATTTAAATGTTCATGTTTTAGAGATTTGTGTAAAGTAAAAATTAAAACAGAATTAGTAAAAGATGGTGATGTTTATAATTTTAAATCCTTTGTATTTGTTGGTGACAATATTCACGAACATAAAGATTGCCCACATTTAGAAAAATTAAATAGTATTAAAGACATTGGAAAAATAGCGTTAAATCATAATCCTCAGCTTCCTAGATCCGAAGGTATGAAAAATTTTGATTATTTAAAATACAAGTCCCGTCGTTCTTCTGGTAAAAAATTGTTTTCTGAAAAATACAACAAAATTCATAATGTTAAGGGAAATTTTGATGAACATGAATGTTATAATGAATATCATATTTACAAAGATAATAAAATGGATATTTTTTGTTGTAAACAAAAATTAAAACAAATTACGAACATTGTCACTTTTTGTCTTGATGGAACTTTTAAAGCTGCCCGAAACCTTATTACCAGTCGTATACAATTCATGGAATATTAGCAAATGGACAATGTTTTAGATTGTTTCATTGTCTTTTGATGGACAAAATGAAAACCAATTATGACACAATGATTGATGTTGTAATGGGGTATGGTGTTACTTTCGGCATTTCAATGTTTCACAAAGAATCAACAACACTTGTAGATTTTGAAATTCCAGTAATTCGTTCTCTAACAGAAAAAACAAAAACAAAAATTCAAGGGTGTTTGTTCCATTTTGGACAATGTATTTGGAGATATTGTCAAACCATTGGTTTAAAAAAGAGATTAGAAACTGATGAAAAATTATGTAATAATGTAAGAAGACTGAAATCTATCGCTTTTTGTCCAGTAGATGACATTCCTTGTGTATTCCAAAAGCTTAAAGAAGAAAGTATAAAAAAGAAGATGGCGATTTTATAAAAATTATAAATTACTTTGAAAAAACTTGGATAAAAGGATGTTTTATTCCCAAACTATGGTGTGTTTTTGGACAGAATAACAGGACGAACAATTATACTGAAAGTTACCATAATGTTTTTTTCAAAAGAATTGGAAGGAAAAAACCAACACAATGGCAATGGTTGGAATGTATCAAAGATTACGAAAACGAAGAAATGCAAATTGTTTCTAAATGACAACAAGTGGACAATTTAAGCGTACTTCAAAAACATATCAAAAAGAAAATGAAGCAATCAAAAATCTCACAACAAATTACACAACTCAAATAACAACAAATTATTTACACGACTTTTTAGATGGAATATCCCTTGTTGTTAAAAAGTTCAGAGAGGAATGCCTGTATGAAGAATTACCATTTGAACAAAAAAACAAAAATTGATTATGAGGAAGAAAAATTAAAAGAAAAATTGGAAACAAATGATGTGGCAGAATCTATTGAAACATAAGAAAAAAATAAATTTTGTGAAAAGAATGTCAACAAAGTAAACATTTTAGATTATACAATAGAACACGAAGAAAAAGAACATTTGGATAAAATAAAAAGTTCAACAAATAAAAAAACTAAACTAAATACTAAAACAAAAATTCAAAGTAATGATGTTTTTAAACCAAGAAAAAAACAAAATCGAGCAATATGTGGTTCACTTAGCAGTTTATTGAAAAGAATTAAAAAGGGTGTAATTCCTCTTTAAACAACAAATGTATTATTTTTTTCTAAATAAATATATAAAGAAAAATTAAAATATTTAAATTTATAATTAAATATTATTTTAAACAAATATGTTTATTACTAAACATAACAGAAAAACACTAAACAAAAATCAGTATTTTGAAAAAATAAACAAAAATCGTTAAACAAAAAAGTTTCACCCACTCTATCTTGTCTAATTGACCAAAAATATTAAAATTTTTATAAAGTCTGTTTTCTATTTGACAATATTGGGTTTTTACTATTATTTATAATAACAGTATTATATTTTAAAATAAAAATAAAGTGGTTTTTAACAGGCAAATATTATAAGAAGGATTTTTGTCCGTTTATTAACCAAATAATAAAATTTGATTATTAAAAAACTATAAAAAATGATCATAAACAAATGAAGTATTCAAATTCTTACGTATTTGAAAAATAAAATGAAAAGACGTAACAAGTTATTTGAGATTTCATAACAGATACTCAAGAAATATCACATGAATTCACAATTCCACGTGAAATGAATACAATGATAAGCAGATTAATAGAATTTGCAATAACTTCACATTATATTAGATTTTCTTTGAAATTAAACCACTTTAAAACATCCAACGACAAATAATCTCAATATAAAATGGTGCGAATTGAAAGTATCATATTTTCACAATCGTAAATAAACAGAAAAAGATCTTCATTTAAAAATTAAAAAACCTGAAAACGAAAAACTAAAAAAAATAATAATGTTATTAACGAGTTCGCCGAAAAAATACGAACAAATAAATTGTATGCGTGAACTATAAACGCATTGTTAGTAAAGCTTGTTTTGTTCTGTGTAATTTAGGAAATTCAAAAACAGAAATAGATGCGTGATAGAAACTGTCTCTGTCAAGAACTTGCTGCTCTCGACACTCATTGATAAAAAATTCGAAAGGCAAATGGATCCAAATGTTATCAAAACATATTTAAAATATTTGTATTTACAAAGTGAGCAACTTAACATGGGAACCCCCTAAATATTTTTCAAAAATTGATATTTGGCAAATCTTAGTTATATTAGTTCTCAATTGTTATTTGTTTTCTTTAAGTTGTTGGCGGACTAAAAAACCGCTTTATAGTTTTAACAGGTTTTCTTTTTTATTTTTTTAAAACCAAACTATAATTTGCCTTTTATAACTTCTCCCTATTAAAAAAATCACAAGGAAAAAATCTAACCTGTTAATCTAAAAACGATCAATTTTTTTAAAAAAATAAATGTCTGTATTATACTTTTTTTTATTATTATAATACTTTTTTAACAAAAATTTTTTCAAATTTTTTTAATTATTAGAAATTCTATGATGTAAAATATTTAATTTATATCAAAAATGTTATAATATTTTTTTTACAGACAAATTTTAATTTTGTTTACAATTTTTATTGTTTTTTTTAAAAAGTTTTTATAAAAGTTATAATTGTAATATTTGTCAATTATTTTAAAAAAAATTAAGTTTTAGTTTTGAAAAAACTGTTGTATCGGGAATTAATACTTGAATTTTAAAGAATTTGTTTTACCATTGTTAAAAATATTAATTTGGTCTTTAAAACATAAAAAGTTTAAAAATAATTTGTTAATAGGCACTGGTACTCTGCAACAATTTAAATACACTCTTTAAAAAAGTAAACTGACATCCACTCCGCCAAAACTATCTCACGGCATTAACTTCTACTCTATTGCAGAACTTCGTTTGGATGTTTGGTTTGTAAATAATGTTGTTCTTTTTGTTTATGATTTGTCTCATTGTTATTTATTTCTTCAATAAAAATTAAAGTTGTTTGTTTTCAAATTCCTTTGTTGCATATATCACATTAAACAAAAAAGGTTCGTTCAACCTATGTTTGTAACAGCAGCTCTTTTTACTTTAATATTAGGTACTATACTTTTTCTGAAAAAAATAAATTGATCAAATTGTTTAAGTTGTTTTGATAAAATAAACCATGATTTATAATAAACAAAATAATTCAAAAATAAAACTGAATAACAAAAATTGTAAATTTTTTAAGGCGATTCATAAGGTTGAAGGAGTGAATAATGTTTATTGACAGACTTTAGTCCAATTACTGAAATGACGTTGATGTTAATAATTGTTATTGACAAAAAAAATAATTTCAATTAAATGTTAATGCTTTCTAGTTTCAATATTACATCTCTCACGTTTATTCTTTTGTGTACGTCTTGACACCACATATCGTCCACAATGTTGTATATGTCTTCGTTCAAGTAAGACGGCCTTTTTAGGCGTTTTCCGCTCACAACAAAGTCGACTATATCCCATGCAAATTTAAATTGTTTATCCAAATATGGGTCTTTCCATATAGCACATTCAAACAAAGATATAGAAAAGGAAAACACATCTGCGCTTTTTGTGTACTTCTTTTTGTTCAACACCTCAGGTGCCATATATACTGGTGTTCCAACACCTTTTGTAAATGTCATGTTTGTCATTAACAAGTTATTATTTCTTGATGATCCAAAATCAGTCAATTTAGCATTCACTTTTTCATTTATATCTTGTGATAACACAAGAATGTTATCTGGTTTAATGTCTCTGTGTAATATCCCATTATCATGAAGATACGAAATTCCTTATGCTGCATCACTCATAAATTTTATTCTTATTTTTATTTTGATTTCATCACTTGTTTTGTGTTTCATTAAGTCTTGCAAACTGCCGTATTGTGCAAATTCAATGACCATACACGCCTTATTTGGAATAAACACAGCTCCATAAAAATGGACAATATACTCACACCTAAACTTGTCAAGCATTGACACTTCATTTTCAAATTCACCCATTAATCTTTCATCATCTAAAACAGTTTTCATCTTTTTGATTGCAACTACATTTCCTCTAAAACTTCCTTTGTATACAACACCAAACGAACTTTCGCCAAGTTTTACGTCTTCTTTCAATTCATCATAGTCAATA